CAAGTCCACTCCGATGGAGTCGTTGAAATCCCTATCTAGCTTGATTCTCCCAGGTAGGCGTGGTAGGGGTCGCTGATGGGCGGCGCAGACGTCGCAGTACAGGTTGAGAGCCATCTCGACCGCTCTTTGGGACCCACCCGTCACTCGGATAGCCCGGGCCAGCGCGTCGTTGGCAGGGTGCCCCGTGTTGACGTGGAGCTGCAATATGGCGGACTTGAGCGTCCGCTCCTCCGCTGCCGTTAAGGCTGGCTCGGCAGGGGCTGCCGGGGCAGGCACTGTCCTTCTCGCGGCTCTCCGTCTCGCTGGTTCCGCGGGGTTTGCCTCGCGGTGCTCGGTCTTGTTCGTCTTGCGAAGCTGCTTAACCAGCGCGGCGACGAGCTTGTCGGTGTAGTTCTCGCTGTCCTTGGCAAGCTTGCCGCGGGCCTCGACGTGCTTGTGTAGGCCGTCGCAAAGCTTGTGCAGCGAGTTGTCGATCCCGTAGTGGTCGGTGATGATCCTCCACGGCTTCTTGATCGCGTCCCCCTTCTTTGTCTGCAGGCCGTAGGCGCAGCCATCGAAATCGATGATGCGCGGGAGCTGGTCCTTCGGCTTCTTCACGGTGTAGTTCTTCTTCTGGTCCCAGCCGTCGCAGTAGCGCGGCCACTCGAAGGAGACCGCGAGCTGGCTGCCGAACTCCTTCCGCAGGCGGCTCATTGACTTCAGGAAAAGGTCGATCATCCTCGCGGAATGCTTCCGATCCTTCTCCAGCTTCTCGGCCTTGCCGGGGTCGATCTTCAGGATGATGCGCTGCAACGCGGTCCAGGGCGTGCATGGAAATGCGGCGTGGACCCGTACGCTCTGGCCCTTCCGCAGGTTCTTCCGGATCTTGCTCTCGAGCTTCTCGACGATGGGCTTCCGAGAAAGGTCGTATCCAGGAAGACCGCAACGTACAGCAGCTCCTCCACTCTCGGCACACTTCGCACTGAGCTTGCTGTCGGGGTTGCAGCACCACTCGTAGAGGATAGTGGTGTTGCTCGAGATTTTGCTCGAGCTCGTAGTTGACTTGGCCAGCCCTGCCTTGAGCGCCTGGCTGACCGTGTGCGGCTTGACGCCGCTCTTGTTGGTGACGATGGCCGACCGCTTGCCGGCGGTCAGCTGCAGCTTCGTCCCCTTCTTGAGCTGACGTACCTTCATCTGCTCTTCCTCCACGATGTTGACCTCCTTCGGCTCGATGTCGCTCTTGATGCCCAGCGTGACCGAGTTGCCGAAAACACACTCGGAGCAGAACCCGAGGTGGCAACAGTCTGCGTAGGACTTGGTGCCGCAGGCCACGCAGTCGTCGAGGGACTCGGCGATGCAGGTAGTAGGCGAAATCGCTGTTGAAGCGAACGTCGGCGGCGCGATTGCCGTCGAACAGCAGACCAACGCAGAGCTCACGGCGGCCATGAGCCTTGAGCTGCCACCGCGTCGCTGTTGAAGTCGCCTCGGTACGTTGAGCTCCTTCTTGGGGATGAGCCTCGTGATGTTCTCGAGCAGGTTGCTCGCCTTCGTAGTGAGGTTGACCGTGGGCTTCGGGGCTGGCTTCTTGGCGATGACCTTAGTACCGACAGCCTTCGGTCCGAACTCGTGGCCCGCGCCCTTGATGGCGAGCCAGTCCTCTGGGTGGAGGTCGATCGCGGGATGTCCCGCGCTGCTCGTGATGAGCTTCTGGGAATGGTTCCCGATGCGGATCTGCCCCCTCCAGAGCGAGATGTCGATCTTGCTCGGCTGGATGAAGTCCCGGCCGATAAGCAGGCCGAGCGTGGGGCTATCCACGACGCTGAACACTATGCGGCCAGCGCGTCCGCACAGCACGAGTGGGGCTGTGACGCGCAGCTTGCTCGGGAGCGTGCCGCCGTTCCCGAACCTGTAGACTTCGTTCTCGGGCTCCTCCAAGATCTGGTCGGCCAGACCCATCTTGGCGAGCTTCTCCGTGCACTGCTTGCACCAGCTGAGCCCGCCAACGCAGAACAGGCAGGCAGTGTCGATCACGCCGACGCCGTCGTCGTTGGGCTTCTCGCCGGCGTTGGTGGCGTTTACGGTGGGCAAGTCGGGCACCACGCGCTCGGAGACCAGGGTCTCGGGTGGCGGAGTGACTGGACCTTCTGGATGAAGAATCACCTCCTCGTCGCCGAACTCCACGTGGTTCTGATCGTGGACCTGCTCGGCGATGTTGGCCTGGCGGTGCGAGCGACCTCCGCCGCCTCGTCCTCCGCCCTTCTGCTTGGCATTCGGGGCGAACTTCCGAGCGCCTGGTGTCGGGCACTCCTTGTCACCGGTCCAGTGCCCCGCCTCGCCGCAGTCCCAGCACTCGGAGTTCTTCTTGCGCTGGTCCACGCGGCCCTGTAGCTTGCCCGCGGGTCGGCGCTTGGGCGAAGCCTTCCCGCGGCCCTTGATGGCCTCCCGGGCCGACCGTATGGTCGCCATGGCTTCGGGAATCGCGGCGAGCTCCGCCGCGGCGGCCTCCACCTTGGCAGAGTCGCCCCTGTCGAACACCTCGCCGAGGTCGTAGTTGGATTGCTCCAGCTCGGCGCTGACAGCCTCGAGCTCCTGGCGCACGATGTCCTGGACGTCTGCCTCCGTGTCGTTGTCGTCGCCGTCCTCCGAGTCCTCGCGCTCGTCCTCTGGCTCGTCGGCGACGTTGGCTGAACGCGCTCGGCTTGGCGATGAGCGCTGCCAACTACTGTTTGATCGCTGCGGCCACGGTCGCGACGGCAAGCTGGCATGCCGTTCCGACGTATGGATATCAGGAAACATGCGCACCAGCAGGCCCCTGATGCGCTGAAATGAGTAATGCTCGTCCGGCAAGTTGCCTACGACGCGCTCACGGCGCTCGGCCGTGAGCCCTGCTTTGCGCAGCAAGAACCAGCCGGCCACGTCGCCAAGCGTCGTGAGGTCAACCTCGTTCTCGCGTAGTTGTTGCAGTCCCGCTTCGAATCGCACGAGCCAGTCCGTCATGCGTTCTCCACGGCGGCGATGGTGCTAAGTCGACTCGAAAAACTTCTCTAGCGTCTCTCCCTTCTGCACCGGCTTCTGCTGGCCTAGGTTTGTCTCGAG